GGCATTGATGACGTCATCGCGCCGCGCCATGCCAGCGTCTGACCGGCGCCGTGCTGAACCAGAACCGGCCGGGTCACACGGCTGGACAAACTATGCGGGTGCACGAAGCGCAGAAGACCACCAGAACACGGTGGGTACAACCCACAACAGACCACAGTGGACGATGTGGACCGGACAGTGGCGAATAAGCCATGGAACGGACCATGGTGGACAAAACGCTGGCCACACCGCAGCATTCCAAATTCATCCGGCAGGGTGTGCAGAACGTACATTAAATTCACGCAGTCAGAAACCTCGCTCTCCTGTGACCCTGCACACAATTCGCTGTTGTTGTCGTAGGGGCTTTACGATGCACCCAGCTGCTGAGGCTATGTGGCGTCGCTTACCTTTCACTCTGGCAGAGAGCGCACGTCCCACGGGGAATCGAACCCTGCACCCGTGGTTTCCCAGGCGCCTAATGGTTACCGCGGACAAGTTAACCACTACACTACCGGCACACAGCCTGCGATGCGTTGCCCTTTGGCCCAGACCCTAGGCATCTGACGTGCCCGGCCCATTCGGTAAGCCTGAGACGCTTTGATGCTGGTTGATCGCCGCCCAGTTGGACGCTCATTGGTCAATGTTGAGCAAAGGAAGGGGCAACAGCCAGAGAACCTCCAGCTGGAGGCGTAATACCATGACATTTCTTGACATCTCTGCCACCCGAGAAGCCAAACATTGAAACTCTGCCAAACCACGGCGGTTCAACGGCGGGTCAACTGGCGGGCCAACTGCAGACCCGACCGTGGCGACCTTGTTGCTGACCTGACACCACACGGGCTGCACAGCACCGACTACAGCACGGACAGCCGCCCATGCGCCGGAGCACGGCGGCGGGGGCGGTGGCGGACCACCGGCCTGGAGCACGCCCTGGCGGCCGCCCACCTGAGCCGACCTGAGTCGCTCAACGGAGTTGACCTGAGTCGCTTACCGAAGTTGACCCGAGTCGCTTACCTGAGTCGACCGCGGGTCTTGGTGGGTGACACGCCGAACGGCTCCTTCATGTTGATGCTCAAATCGCCCACCGTCCGCTTCTTTCGCGGCGAGTGCGCCCTGCCGTGGCCGTTCGCCACACCCCTAGTTCTCGCCGCGGCCGCCGAGCGGCGTTTTACCACGGCCCGCCTCGCCACGAAGCCAGTGGCCGGCCGGCGGCGTCGGCGGCGCCTGCCGCCCCTGCCCGGCTTCGCCGACGCGCCGGCCGGCGCCGACGTCCCGCTGGCCTCCCCGGCACTGGCCGCTGCGCGCGGCTTCACTGGCGACGCACTCGCCGGCGACGGCGCCACCGCCGCGTCATCCGCGGCGCCTCCCTCGGCCACCGACGCGCGCCGCCGGCCGCGGCGTCCGGTCGCCTCACCGTCCGTAGCCGACGGTCCAGCAACGGCGGCCACCGCCTCCTCCGCCGGCGGCGGCGGTGCCGGCGGGCCGGACAGCCGCGCCGCCGCCGCCGCCGCCGCCGCCGCTGTTGCTGCCGCCGCTGCCGCCGCCGCCGCCGTAGCCGGCGCCGGGCCCTTGGTCACCACCTTGAGGCGGCGCTTGGCGCGCGGCGCGGCGCCGGCCGGCCCGGCCGCGCGCGCCCGCTTGTGCTGCGCGATCAGTCGCGTCGGTGAGTCCGTCAGCTTGCGCTTGGGGCTGGGCTGCTTGCGCCGGTGCGCCGACGCCGCCCTGGCGTCCTCGCCGAGCGGCGGCAGCGGCGGCGGC